CCACTTTAAGAAGGTTCTTGGAATTCTGAACTGCAACATCCCAAGAATGAACCCAACACTGAACCCGCCAAAAATTATGAAATTCCATGGTGCTGTTCGGAAGTACTTGGAGGATCATCCCACTGGATGTAACTGGCTAGTAATTATGGTTTAACCCTGGTTCGTAAGTCCCCAATTCGTGGATTAAAACCCATCTGCAAATGGGAAAAGGACCAGTTCCGATCGGTGGGATGATCCTCCACATAACAGCATGGCACTGGAAGATATTCCATTTACAGCATATAGATGATTTCCCCATTGCAACACCATTTCTAGATGTTTTTCAAGCGCCTTGGATTATCAGAAAATAGTTCCATTCATCACCATTAGTCACCATTATCTACCACCATTTATAGATCATTTTCCCACTTACTACCAGGGTAGCAGGTCTACCCCAGGTCGGACGGGTGGTTCAAACAGCCGACCTCGGAACACCAGGGCTCCGCTTCCCCCACGTCCCCCGCATCGCCGTCCCCCCGGGCCGCGCCCGGAGCCACAGCCGTGGTTCGTCGCCACCGGGGGTGCTGAAGGAGTCTGAAGGTATTGGCTGGTTTGAAGGTCTCGGGTTTAACATGGGCAAAACATGGTTAAACAAAGTTAAGCATGGTCAAACAAGCTTAAACAAGGTTAAGGCATGGTCAAACAAGGTCAAACAAGGTTAAACATAGACAGTATTTATTTTTCATCACATAATGTGACCTACCTCAGCTGACGCATGGTTTCAGGATGTTTGATACATATTATCCATGCTAGCTGATATGACCCTGCCTGGCGTTTACAATACCAGCCTTGGACTCTTGTCGTTTCTGGGTAGTTGATAGCAATCTAACCCAAAAAGATGGACCTGGTGGACTATATACTTGAAATCATTTTAGGATATGTTAAACTGATCATCCAGAATCCTTTCCACTGCAATCATGTGAGTCCGGAGCATGCAACATAGAGTTCGCCACAAATCTGTGGCTTCTCTGTTTTCTGTGCTGGTTTGAGGACACGCTTTGTCACACCCCTTAGGCATGGCAATCGCTTTTGATATTTTTTGGCCAATCCCAATCACAAGCTCATTTCAAAAAGCTAAGTTTTGTGTTGAAAGCAATTGTGAAGATTTGATTGTATGTTTCTTGCCACCGAGGAACCCAAATAAGGATCAGTACGTACATGTAAGATCATCCGAATTACCCGTGTACATATACATATATTGTAAAATATGTGCGCGCGCTGTGCACAATATCTTATTATATTTTTTTTAATATATATATATATATATTGACGGACTGAAACTTAGAATGCGCATTTGGAAGCGGCACTCCACACGTGCAAAACTGAAAAAATGCATTTTACCAGCATTTCGAAACTTAGAATGCGTCCCCCCACCTAGGATGAAGCTATTCCGCAATCAACAGTTAGAATGCCTCCAAGGACATATGTTTTTTCCAGGCAGAAACACATATATATCCTAGACCCTCCAAGTCACCATAAAAAAGGTAGTTTACCACATAATTTTCATAGTTTTAGCAACTTTTCAGGGTATTTGGAGGTTCTGGGTATATGAATGTACCTGTTTGAGAATATCTCTTTTTTTTTGTGCATTTTGCAGGTCTGGGTACTTTTACTCGCTTTCCCCATTCGATAACCTTGACAAAAGCGAGTTTCCCGTACAAAATTGCGATTTTGGACACATACCTGAGGTAAATAGGCTTCTGGGAAAAGAGGACACACCCAGCCACTAATGGTGTTGAACAGACAGTTAGAATGTGGCTTTAGTAAAGGATCCCCATCATTGATAAATACCTTTGTTTTATCTCCTAGATGGGCCACTAGCTGGAATGCCTGTAACTGTCACTGATTGGAAAAGATGTTTATATATTTTTTTTAAACGGCAAAATTGGAAAATTGCATTTTACCAGCATTTCAGAACCTAGAATGCCCCCCCCCACCTAGGATGAAGCTATTCGGCAATCAACAGTTAGAATGCCTCCAAGGACATATGTTTTTTCCAGGCAGAAACACATATATATCCTAAACCCTCCAAGTCACCATAAAAAAGGTAGTTTACCACATAATTTTCATAGTTTTAGCAACTTTTCAGGGTATTTGGAGGCTCTGGGTATAAGAATGTACCTGTTTGAGAATATCAGATTATTTTGTGTGCATTTTGCAAGTCTGGGTACTTTACTCGCTTTCCCCATTCGATAACCTTGACAAAAGTGAGTTTCCCGTACAAAAATTGCGATTTTGGACACATACCTGAGGTAGATAGGCTTCTGGGAAAAGAGGACACCCCCAGCCACTAATGGTGTTGAACAGACAGTTAGAATGTGGCTTTAGTAAAGGATCCCCATCATTGATAAATACCTTTGTTTTATCTCCTAGATGGGCCGCTAGCTGGAATGCCTGTAACTGTCACTGATTGGAAACGATGTTTTTTTTTTAACGGCAAAACTGGAAAATTGCATTTTACCAGCATTTCAGAACTTTGAATGCCTCCCCCCCACCTAGGATGAAGCTATTCGGCAATCAACAGTTAGAATGCCTCCAAGGACATATGTTTTTTTCCAGGCAGAAACACATATATATCCTAGACCCTCCAAGTCACCATAAAAAAGGTAGTTTACCACATAATTTTCATAGTTTTAGCAATTTTTCAGGGTATTTGGAGGTTCTGGGTATATGAATGTACCTGTTTGAGAATATCACATTATTTTTTGTGCACTTTGCAGGTCTGGGTACTTTTACTCGCTTTCCCCATTCGATAACCTTGACAAAAGTGAGTTTCCCGTACAAAATTGCGATTTTGGACACATACCTGAGGTAGATAGGCTTCTGGGAAAAGAGGACACACCCAGCCACTAATGGTGTTGAACAGACAGTTAGAATGTGGCTTTAGTAAAGGATCCCCATCATTGATAAATACCTTTGTTTTATCTCCTAGATGGGCCACTAGCTGGAATGCCTGTAACTGTCACTGATTGGAAAAGATGTTTATATATTTTTTTTTTAACGGCAAAACTGGAAAATTGCATTTTACCAGCATTTCAGAACCTAGAATGCCCCCCCCCCCACCTAGGATGAAGCTATTCGGCAATCAACAGTTAGAATGCCTCCAAGGACATATGTTTTTTCCAGGCAGAAACACATATATATCCTAGACCCTCCAAGTCACCATAAAAAAGGTAGTTTACCACATAATTTTCATAGTTTTAGCAACTTTTCAGGGTATTTGGAGGTTCTGGGTATATGAATGTACCTGTTTGAGAATATCTCTTTTTTTTTGTGCATTTTGCAGGTCTGGGTACTTTTACTCGCTTTCCCCATTCGATAACCTTGACAAAAGTGAGTTTCCCGTACAAAATTGCGATTTTGGACACATACCTGAGGTAGATAGGCTTCTGGGAAAAGAGGACACACCCAGCCACTAATGGTGTTGAACAGACAGTTAGAATGTGGCTTTAGTAAAGGATCCCCATCATTGATAAATACCTTTGTTTTATCTCCTAGATGGGCCACTAGCTGGAATGCCTGTAACTGTCACTGATTGGAAAAGATGTTTATATATATTTTTTAAACGGCAAAACTGGAAAATTGCATTTTACCAGCATTTCAGAACCTAGAATGCCCCCCCCCACCTAGGATGAAGCTATTCGGCAATCAACAGTTAGAATGCCTCCAAGGACATATGTTTTTTCCAGGCAGAAACACATATATATCCTAGACCCTCCAAGTCACCATAAAAAAGGTAGTTTACCACATAATTTTCATAGTTTTAGCAACTTTTCAGGGTATTTGGAGGTTCTGGGTATATGAATGTACCTGTTTGAGAATATCTCTTTTTTTTTTGTGCATTTTGCAGGTCTGGGTACTTTTACTCGCTTTCCCCATTCGATAACCTTGACAAAAGTGAGTTTCCCGTACAAAAATTGCGATTTTGGACACATACCTGAGGTAGATAGGCTTCTGGGAAAAGAGGACACACCCAGCCACTAATGGTGTTGAACAGACAGTTAGAATGTGGCTTTAGTAAAGGATCCCCATCATTGATAAATACCTTTGTTTTATCTCCTAGATGGGCCACTAGCTGGAATGCCTGTAACTGTCACTGATTGGAAAAGATGTTTATATTTTTTTTTTAAACGGCAAAACTGGAAAATTGCATTTTACCAGCATTTCAGAACCTAGAATGCCCCCCCCCACCTAGGATGAAGCTATTCGGCAATCAACAGTTAGAATGCCTCCAAGGACATATGTTTTTTCCAGGCAGAAACACATATATATCCTAAACCCTCCAAGTCACCATAAAAAAGGTAGTTTACCACATAATTTTCATAGTTTTAGCAACTTTTCAGGGTATTTGGAGGTTCTGGGTATATGAATGTACCTGTTTGAGAATATATCTTTTTTTTTTTTGTGCATTTTGCAGGTCTGGGTACTTTTACTCGCTTTCCCCATTCGATAACCTTGACAAAAGTGAGTTTCCCGTACAAAATTGCGATTTTGGACACATACCTGAGGTAGATAGGCTTCTGGGAAAAGAGGACACACCCAGCCACTAATGGTGTTGAACAGACAGTTAGAATGTGGCTTTAGTAAAGGATCCCCATCATTGATAAATACCTTTGTTTTATCTCCTAGATGGGCCACTAGCTGGAATGCCTGTAACTGTCACTGATTGGAAAAGATGTTTATATATTTTTTTTAAACGGCAAAACTGGAAAATTGCATTTTACCAGCATTTCAGAACCTAGAATGCCCCCCCCGCACCTAGGATGAAGCTATTCGGCAATCAACAGTTAGAATGCCTCCAAGGACATATGTTTTTTCCAGGCAGAAACACACACACATATATATATATATATCCTAGACCCTCCAAGTCACCATAAAAAAGGTAGTTTACCACATAATTTTCATAGTTTTAGCAACTTTTCAGGGTATTTGGAGGTTCTGGGTATATGAACGTACCTGTTTGAGAATATCTCTTTTTTTTGTGCATTTTGCAGGTCTGGGTACTTTTACTCGCTTTCCCCATTCGATAACCTTGACAAAAGTGAGTTTCCCGTACAAAATTGCGATTTTGGACACATACCTGAGGTAGATAGGCTTCTGGGAAAAGAGGACACATCCAGCCACTAATGGTGTTGAACAGACAGTTAGAATGTGGCTTTAGTAAAGGATCCCCATCATTGATAAATACCTTTGTTTTATCTCCTAGATGGGCCACTAGCTGGAATGCCTGTAACTGTCACTGATTGGAAAAGATGTTTATATTTTTTTTTTAAACGGCAAAACTGGAAAATTGCATTTTACCAACATCGAATATATATAGGTTTACAAGCAGTTAGAATGTGGGAGGTAGAAATGCCTAAAACCCATGAGTTTCTTCAAAACATTGATTGTTGGGAAATATATGTATATATTTGGTTGCGCAGACAATTGTACCCCACAACTCATGTGTTCCCTCAAGGTTCCCTGGTGTTTTTCTGGAAACATACATACTTGGTATGTATATAGAAAGTTTTTTTGAAAACATGATGCAAACCCACACATCCATGCTAGAATATGCTAGTGCCGGACCATGTACCTTGCACCCAATGAGGTTCCCTGAGGCCACGTTTTTTTTAGCTACGTATCTATATATTTATCTTTTTTAATATATGTACAATATATATACACACACCGACGGACTGAAACTTCGAATGCTACGCTCCTTTCCTGAGAGTAGTTTACAGACAGTTAGAATGCTCCATGATGCCCCATCCGTCATTTCAGTATATCTTTATCTATCTCAATCTAAACATTTTGGGTCAGCATTCTAACTGTCTGGTCGCCGCCCGGGGCTGCGCCGCATTCTAAGTTTACGAAAAAGGGATTTTTGGAAACCTGGCGCGCATTCTAAGTTTCAGTCCGTCAATATATATATATACAGCTAAACATCATAACACCTATCATTGTATATCATTACATACGTTGAATATTAACTCAGATCGCTGTACCTGGAGACCGTCCAGCAGCCCAACCCCCACCTGAGGCCAAACCCCCAAACCCATCAAATCCAAATCTCAAGGTTTCCACTGCAAATGCAAATGTGTGTTGCTACTGCTACCGTTACGCTTGAATTTAGCTCTGAACTGGCTCATGATGGCTCATGATTGGCTCGAATGCTTGTAAAACAGGCTTGTCCAAAGGCAGGCTTTATTTCTCCCGAAATTGGGTGTTCATTTGTTTTTTCGGTCATCATGATTTCTATGATAAAAAGCATGTTGAAGTACCATTTAGGGTGTGGTTGCGTGTCTCCTATGATCTCCCATGGTTTATCCAAAAAGGGCATTCCCGCATTTCAACATGCCACGAAGGTCCAGTTCGCCAATGCGCGTGGGGACCCCAAACTCCAGATGTTGATCAACCCAGGGATCCATATTCGCTGAAGGGGGTGCAGTTGAGGTTTTTTGATGGCTGTAACCATGATGAAATAGCCCCCATCAGGTGGGATTATATCAAATTATATTGCAGATCCACTTAGAACTGGAACTGGAACTGCACTTCCACGTATAGTTTTTCCCGAATGCGTAACAAGGGTTCCCGTTTCACTCTGGGGGTCTGGAGGTTGAGGGTGTGTTCGCTCGACGTTGCGCAACCGTTCGCAGCCGTTCGCAACTGTCCGCGTGAGGGCCGTATGGCCGTGCCTATAAAGTTTTGCAAAAGGGATCATTTTTAACGTTGCGTTGCTTCGTTTCGCGTGGCAGGCGTGGCACTTCGTGACATTCAGGCGCGTTTCGTAACGTGTGGAAAGCCGTCTTGCGAGGCAGGCGCAAGACTTTTCCTACGTTTTAGGAAGATGCGTTGCAGTTTTCGTGGCAGGCGCAGCACTTTAGACGTGTCCTGTTGCGTGTTTTTTGCGAATCGCATTGTCAGGGCTGCGTCAAGTGGCGACAAGGTGCAAATTCTGTGGCAGGCCTGGCATTTTGTGAGATGTGATGAAAATTGGCGGAAACTTCGCACGAAACATCGATTTTGAGGTAGTAAATTTAGGAGGTTCATAAGAACACTCATAGGAAAACGTCGATTTTGAAGCTACAAAGTACTTGTATGAAAATTGGAGGAAGTCTCGCAGGAAATGCGCGTTTTGATGCTCCAACGTGTCTCGTCTCGAGTCTCTGGTTTTCCTGTGGCCTCGCCGTGTCTATCGGGGAAGCTGCAAAATCTATCCCTTCTGAAGGTGTCAGATCAAGTTGTAACGTGGTTTTGCGTGGCAGGAGTGGGACTTTGTGACATTCCAACCTGTTTCAGAACGTGTCGAAAGTCGTTTTGTGTGGCAGGTGCAATACATTTGCGACGTTTTCAGATGATGGGTTGCAGTTTTCGTGGCAGGCGCAGCACTTTGGACGTGTTCATCGTCATTTCGCGTGGCAGGCGCGGCACTTCAGACGTGTTGCGTGCTCTACACTCCACACTCCACACTCTAGACTCTACACTCCACACTCCACACCTGACACTTCACACTCCACACTTTACATTCCACACTTCTTTACACTCTACACTTACACTCTACACTGCACACTCTACGCTCCACACTCTACGCTCCACACTCTACACTCCACACTCAGCACTTCACACCCCACACTCTACACTTTACACTCCACACTCAACACTTTACACTTTACACTCCACAAATTGCAAACTCCACACTCTACACTCCACACTTTACACACCACACTCTACACTTCACACTTTACACTCTACACTCTCCATTCCACACTCCACACTCAACACTTTACACTTTACACTCCACACTTTACACTGAACACTTTACACTGCATACTCTACACTCCACACTCTACACACGACACTCCCGACTTCCCCACTTTACACTTTACACTTCACAGTCCACACTTTACACTTTACACCTTACACTCCACACTTCACACTTGACTTTACACTCCACACTCCCCACACTACACTGTACACTCCACACTCCACACTTTACACTCCACACTCCACACTTTACACTCCACACTTTACACCTTACACTCCACACTTTACAGTTTACACTCCACACCCCACACTTTTCACTATTTTACACTCCACACTCGACACTTTACACTTTACAGTTTACACTTTACACTCCAGACTTTACACTTGACACTTTACACTCCACACTCTACACTCCACACTCTACACTCCACACTTTACACTTTGCACTCCACACTTTACATTTCACAATTTACACTCTACACTGTACACTCTACACTTTACATTCCACACTCTGCACTCCACACTCCACATTCCACATTTTACACTTTACACTCCACACTCCACACTTTACACTTTACACTATACGCTCCACACTCCACACTCCACACTTTACATTTTACACTTTACACTCCACACTTCATATACATTCCACACTTTACACTCCACACTTCACACTCTACACTTTACACTCCACACTCTACACTTTACACTTTCCACTTCACACTTTGCACTCCACACTCTACACTTCAGACATTCCACCCCACACCTCTCACTTTACAGTCCACACTCCATAATCCCCACTTCACACTCTACACACTACATTCCCCACTCAACACTTCACCTTCTTCACACCCCATGCTTTGCACTCCACCCTCTTCTGCATTCCACAGTCTACAGTGCACTGGCACAGTAACAGGGGAAAAATGTAGAAGAATGTTCAAATCTTTGTTTCACAAAAGTGTTTTACTGCTTTCGGGTTCGTGGGCTGCATCTTTTTCCCAACGCCATGACAGTAACAGTTTGTAATTTTTCTTTGCACATACAAGAGGATTAGCCCCACGTCATGTCAAGTTTGATCGGTAAGAATGATGATGCACCATGATCAAATCTTTGGGTGTGTCCTGATTGCGGGCAAACCGAATTGGCCGTGATCGCTGCTACTTTCCCGGCATATTACATCGAGAAGATGCGCTCCACAAACGGCTGGGTTATATTTGAACCGGACATGGAGGACCAGGCCCCACCAAGTTCCTATGTCAATGCTTGACAAATTATGACAAATGACGTGGCCCATGTGTTTCAATGTGAGTCCCCAAACAATAATAAAACTCAAACTATTTAAGGATGACGTAGTTGCAATGCGGATGCGGGCCACCAACCCGAAGGTATATCTCCTACCAAACAGAATGTTTGTTGCTTCTGGTTTTTCATGCGAAAAAAATGTTGAACTGCAATTTGAATGCGAAGATGATACCGTTTGCGTTTGATCATATGTCCAAGAAGTGCTCAAACATACTCGTACAGGGAAAAAGGTCGTAAAACAAGTCCATTCCATCTGCACCCAGGCGTTGCTATTGTAACAACTAGTAAGGGGTCAACGTAACCGGTCCAAATTTATCGCGACTCTTATCGCCGACCACTCACTTTTACACAGCAGTAGACAAGGGAGACTAATCCTAGAATAAGTGGACTTACCCTCCCGTGATCAAACGTGGCAATTGGAAAGTCCCTGGGAATGGAGGTTTTATAAGGAAAATCAACTATATATGTTTGATGGATTTCCCAAGTGCCATGTTCGATTGCCGGAGCGTATTTCGGCGGGACGTGTTGTAGTTTGTTCCTTGTAGATTCGGGTATTAACAATCAATATAGCCTTGATACGGTAATGGTTAATGGTTGGAATTCAGATTATGGCTGAGTAATCCATCAGCTCAATAACCCCACTGCCCTTTATGGATAGAGGAGAAACATGCAGAAACCATCCATGTTTCACAAGAAATCGGTTAAAAAATATTGGAAAAAAAACCCTGGCAGTTCAAAGCGATCATTAAATCTTGGAGAGGTCACCTCATCGTCATCCTCACCCTTATCATCATCGTCGTCATCATCATACTCATTATGAATGAAAAAACTCAAAAATGAAACATAAATATATACACGTTGTTTTGTATAGAAGACATTCAACCTCAGAATTGTATGCAGGGAACCTCTGCGGAAAGCCATATGTTTGTTCCGCATGTTGAACCCCAATGCTGGGATTCATCGAAGGGTACCTTGTTGTCAGACCACCATCCCAGTTAGAAAGTGGGTTATAACTCCAGTTATAACTGAACTAAACCTATTCAGCCCATTTATCACCAGGGTTACCCTCTGGGAATCAAACCTGGCAATGGAAAACTATCCCATGAAAGCTTTCATTTTGTTCGATGATTTCCCATTTCCACGTTTGATTATCAGATGATAGTTCCATTAGTCACCATTAATTACCATTAATCATCATTATTAACCACTATTGACCATTATTAAGCGTTATCACCCACTCACTAAGTGGGATTCCAGTTTTACAAAACAATATCCAGCAAACCTGGCGCCAGCCATTAAAATCATTAAGGCACGAAGCGAGGGCCTTGAAGATGGAGAGGTGTGGGTCCAGAAGATCTTCGGGGGACCCGCATATTGGCTACGCAGCTCTTCACCCCATTGAACATGACCCATGTTGGATGTTTTTTTCGGGAATTTTCGGGATCCCGTCCCCAACCTGGGATGGGTAGTTCCATCCTTTAGTTGATTGCTATAAATGATCCATTGGAGCATCAAAGCCTGACCATGATCCATTGGGGGAAACACCCAAGCGGAAAATTGGGAACACCTCAGCAGCCAGGAGGACAGCCAGGCGGAGCCAAAGCCTCAGTGCCGATGGTGAAACTGATAGGACACATCCAAAGCAGTTCAAACAAATCTGGAATGCACCAAAACTAGTAACTTCCTTGAGGCACTGCATGGTGCAGTGATTTGAGTAGAGTTAAGTTGTTGGAGGAGATGGGCATTTTGACTCATTCGGCAAAGACAATTTAGATGATCTGTTGCAGTGTGAGCACTGGCCATTCTCATTGAAGCGTGAACTTGCCAGGTCATTTCTTTGGGCAATTGTTGCTAAGATGAACCAACTCACACAGCATCAACAGAAAGGTGGAAGATGGTGGAAGTGGCCATCACATCAATTTGACATGTCGTTCATTTTTGGGATCCCTTTCACAGCGGCGGGTTTTCATGTTCACCCTAACCTTCGGTATCCTTCGGTATCCTTCGGTATCCTTCGGTCCGCCATGGTGGCACCCTAAGGCCCGAGGCTGAAAGTAAACACGCCTTCGGCTGGTACCTGATTCGTTCCTCGCTTGAGTTCGATTGTGACGTATTGATTTGGTGCAAACAATCTGCGGCAAAAAAACTTGAAAGCACATGGTACATATAATGTTAAACTTTTATATTTATATATATATATTTCTGGATTGCCCTCATCAGGATATTGGCCCTCCATTTGATTTGTCGCACCTGAGATGAGGTGAATGAATCTGCACGGGTACCATTTGCAAGCCGTTGAAACAGGGAAATGACCCGATTGCTCATTTAGTTTTGATCATCCCTGCCTATTTGAGATGAGGATCCCACTTGTGAAATGCTTGAAATGCTTGGAGCTTGAGGCTTGGAATTTCACAGCGATTCAGGGGCATCAACTCCTAGGATTCTTTCAGTACTTCTGAATGGAAAGTATCGCAAGGAAAAACGCAAAGATGTTTCATGTCACCCTAGGGGATTTGATCTAAACAACGGGACTTTTCATGTCACCCCAAGTTCTTTTCAATCCAAATCTCACAAAGTAAGCCAGGCAGGGATCTTATGAACAAATAGGGAATCTGACATGATATGACTCCGGTGATTTGGATAAAACTGATAAAAAAATTTCCCGGGTTTTCAAAAATCATATTGCAAATGTGGCACTGGCGAAACGGATAGGCATTGCCGTACGGATATCTTGGGATGACCGGGGAGGTACAGCAGAAGAATGACATTGTAAGCTCCAAATCTACCCAGAACAAAGTACCCTCAGGTAAACTAACATAGTGAACATGGCCATAGAAATAGTTGATTTACCATGATTTTCCGACTATAGAAATGGTGATGTTCCATAGCTATGCGGCTGTTTACAAGAGGGTGTATCCATTAACATCCCTGCTTTTGTTGATGAAATCTCTATGGATCACACTGAAATCCCATTAAACTATATGAAACCACCATGAAATCCCACTAAATCACCATGAAATCCCACTAAATCACCATGAAATCCCACTAAATCACGATACAATCCCATGAAAAACCACCAATGATCCAAATCCAAACTGAATTTGACCTAAGCCAACTGCCAAAGGTTCGGCGCTGAACGGCCTCCGAAGTCCTACCAAGGAGAGCGTAGAGGCCGCGGGGGCATCAAGAAATGGGCGGAAATCCTGTGTGTTTTTAGTGGAGGAAATATGGGACAATTTTGGTCAATTAAGGGAACAATATGGAAACATATGGAAAATATGAGAAAATGATCTAAATAGATTAATATATATATATATTATTATTATTAGAAAAATATAGGACAATGATCTTTAAATATTGTCTTGAAATGGAAAATATGGAACATGATCTATAAATTGGAGGGTTTTGTGGGGAAATACCACTATAAATGGAGGTTTTGTTGTGTTTAATAGATGGCGGATTTTCCATTGCTATGTTTGATTATTAGACCACGCTGGGAGTTGGACTTATACGGCTATCTTTTCGTAACTCGGACGGGTGTGGAATTGTTTGCATCGTCACATTTTGCTGCGTGTCTGTAATGTTCTTGGCAATTTTCCTGGAGCTAACTTGGCTTTGGACATGTTTGAATACCAAATAAAGTGAAGTGAAATAAACAAAAATGGCGACATCGCCAGCAAAAAGGGATGATTTTGCACTAAAAGGAAGCCAACATCTATCTGCTTATGTTTGGGATTTGGGCCTCATGCCTTTCGACCCATGTGGGATATCACCCTTTTTCGGCCAGGAAATCGCACTGAGAGGCCAGCATGTGCAATTAATCAAGTCATTGTAGTAAATTCTAGTATGAAGTGAACATGTTCTCATCCAGTTTGGTTCTGGATGGATGTGATCGTGTAAATGACCGGCTGGTGCCATATACAAATACATCCATACATTTGTACATAATATAATATATATATATATATATATTATTATATATATATTATATATATATATCATATATCATATATCTGTGTGTGTTTCAGTTGTCCTTCGGAAGTGAGATGATCCCCGGGCACGCCAGGACGGCTCACCCTGCAGCTCGCAGCTCAGGTCGCCAGTTGGCCCCGTTGGCCCGGAAGAGTTGATTCGGAAAATGATCTGCAAATGCCAAGCGGTTTTCCCGATCCCAACGTGTATGTTATATGGCAATAATATATGGAATAATATATGTATAATTATAATACATAATATGGGACCAATGGGGAACATAATATGAGAATAATATATGGAATATCATATTCTATATGGAAATAATATATGGGAATAATAGGGAATAATTTTATATGGGCAATAATCATCCCCATGATTTCCATATATCCGATATATAGGGAATGATTTGGCAATAATGGATATTATATGATCTACATATGGAGATGATTAATGGTTATTCATGGAATCATAATATTTAATGATATGGTTATATATACATGACGAAGGTATATCATTATATTTGGTATTGATATATAAGGGTTACAACCAATCCATTCATGTATATGGTGATGATATGGTAGAAAATGGGGTAATGATACTGATATACTGGTTGGTGGATTGGAACATGAATGGATTACGACTTTGCCATTCAGTTGGGAATATATTTTCCCAACTGACGGACTCATATTTTTCAGGAGGGTAACCTGAAAATATCGCAATTTTGTGTGCGGTTACCCCATCTTTGGATGTGTTTGGATGATGTGTGCTGCTCATGGCCATATGGATGGATCTAATGATGGAGTTCGAGAACAGTCGCTATGACGTTTGTAGATGCTGACATGTGGGAAGATATGTTCATAGATTGTCCACCTGCCTTTTCAACTGGTAAAAGGAACACAAATGCTACAAACTCTATGTTTGATGCTTTTAAAACTTTTAAATGATGTAAAAACATGTAATTCTTGGTAAACTCAATAGGATCCACTATCCCAAATGACATTTCCAGTTTTTTTTATGGGATTGAATCCATCAATCCGGGTGGTCTATGGCATTGCTTTACCACGAAAAATTCAGATGTTTTCCTACAAGGTGGTGTCCCAGTTCAGCATCACTAAGTTGGCAAACATAACTGCAATAACTTGGTTTGGTTAGGGCAAAAAAATCAGTCTATATAGTCCATAGTTACTCTAGTTACTCTGGATTTTTCCATAACCAACAAACAGAACTGGGGGCACCACCATCTGGTTGGTGGTTTGGAACATGAATGGAACATTTTTGATTTTCCATTCAGTTGGGAATTTCATCATCCCAACTGACGAACTCCATCATTTTTCAGAGGGGTAGGTATACCACCAACCAGTACAGTGGTATTTCATAACTATGGAAAGATCCACCATGCTATCAATGGGTTTTTATCCACGAACTAAATTACCATTTTCAATAGCTATGTTTGTTTACCAGAGATTATATGGATACAACCATAGATACCATTAGTTACCACTATTTTTATGGCCATTTTCGCTATGGGCACCACCTACCATTGGATCCTGACGCAGAATTTCTGAGGCCCCATGGGTCGACGCTACTCCTTGGATCTCATGGAATCCATGGAGACCCGGCGATAGCGACTGCTGGGGCTGTTCGGGGTGAACCAAGTAATGAGACGCGAAGGTGGGTTGGTCTTGTTTGAGATAGGGATGAAGGTGAGCTTGCTTATTTTGGCTATAAATGGGATGATATCATCATGGTTATTCCCATTACTGGGATGAATATCAATGGTTTACCCGCCAGTAAATGTTCACATAGATCTTGCAATGTCGGACTTGGGGTTGGAAAATGTTTGTGTCCACCAATATTCCGTGGCTATTTTCAGGGTCTATGTGAAAAGACGGGTGTGTGTAAAATCACGTTCACCCGCAGGGCTTACCATAGATTACCCAGGAAGCTTTCTCCTGACGATGATCCTCAGACCTATCGGTGATGAAACATGGCAAGGGGGTTTTATTCCAATGGATGTTTTAGTGGGGAAAAACATCCAGAAATGATCTTAAGTGGATATTTATAAGGGCCGGGTGATTTTCCATGTTTGATTGCCGGATGGTAAATGAGTCATAGCAAACATGCTTGGATATGCAGGAGAGGTATGGAGAAGCTATAGATGGGTATGACAATGATGGTTGCAAGACCCTATAAATGAAGATAAGTCCCATGAAGTTAATTACCCTCTGGTAAACTAACATAACTATGGAAAATCACCATGTTATTTATGGGTAAATCCACTATTTCTATGGCCATTTTCAATAACTATTTTGACATAACCAAAGGGTAGCATATGGAACTGTGCTTGTGCAGTCATAGCCTTGCCTGATCCCATCCAATCCATCCATCGCCCAAGGAGGAGGGTCATGCGCATGAGCTCCCCACAGACTTTGTGGTGCCGTTGTGCCATGTCGAAACCAGGGCGGTTACCGCGCAGCGGTTGGTTTCTGCCGACCTGGCAGCCAGGGATCAACGGATGAAACCAGCAGTCAAACCTTGGTGAAGTTTGGTTGATCTGATTGTGAAGACCACCTGTGCAACAGTGAGATTGGTTTTGCTTGATTATGCTTGATTGTTGACTGATGTTGAATGGATGAATTGGTCAACCTGTATTAACCTGTAAAACATTTTTTGGACCGTATATTCTGGAAGAATTATGATGACCTCACTGTGACCTCACTGGAATGATGGTTAGTAGGGGTAATAACCCAAATAGTCCTATTTCAGGTTGGTGACATTGGTGAAGTACCAGAGGCACTGTGAAGTACTACAATTCAGCCAAGATATATGTTGAATTCTACTTGGTGGCTCATCCCACTTAGTAAGTTATAACCCCAGTTATAAATGGAAAAAGTAGGGTTAATCCACTTATATCCTGGGCGTATAACTTATAACCCGCTTATACCCGCTTGCTAAGTGGGATGACGCACCAAGTATTGTCCCACCAAAAATCGTCCCCCGTTTCCTTCATCTTTTGATGTCCCAGGCGCCGATCTAGCAAGTGTGGACTCTTAACTTTGCTTCACGTGTGCTCGGCGTGTCTGAAACTGGATACCCAAAAAGTTGCATTTTTTGTCTGTAGGAGAAACCTAGAAAAACGATGATAAACCAAAGGATTTGGGGGTCTCTCTTTTTTCTGGCAAACCCAAAAGATACCAAGTACTCAACAAATGAATCTCTCTTCTGCCAGGTCGGAGATCGTGACGCAGATATGTCATGTTGTGAAAGACTACCGAAAAAAGTGCAGATAACACACAACACATCGCAAATGCAAGTCTAAGAATTATGAAAGGGCTGTATTTCAGCATCCGCGATTGTAAAACCCTGCGTCGCGATTGTTTGGCGATTGGTTCGCGATTGAGACAAACATTTGTTGTGCAAGAATTGGCCATTGTAAGAGGAGAATTCAATATTATATGGCAAGATAATTATGTTACATTTCAGCCTTATATTATTGTATGATATTGTATGCGGTCTGCCTAGACACTGTGTTCAATAGTGATAGCCAATAGCAAAGAAGAATCAGAACAACAAAGTTCAAGTCCAACAACCCAGATCAATTTAACTTTCAAATCATGTCTATGAAATCCGCGATTCGTTCGCGATTGATCCGCGATTGCCCCGCGGTTGTTAAACCCGCCTGAGTAGGCCCTGGCTCATGCCATGTCTCTAAATACTGTGATATGTAGCAATGTTTTGACGATTCTCCGCGCAAAATGGTGTCGGATACGACAGAACCCTCCGGCGATTTTTCCACCGTTGGGATCGCGGTTGATTCGCGCTTGATCGGCGATTGTAGCTGCCCCAAATACCTTTATTTTGATCAATCCCATTTACAGAATATACCCATATTTAGAGATGACTTTCCCATTCAAACGTCTAATTTTGAAGCGCGGGGATTTTCCAGTGAACCAAAAACATCGAAAGCCTGAGGTTGTGGCGCTTTAGAGTGATGCTCCCAGTGACGGAGAGTTACGGAGAGGGTGTGGATTTAATCAACGAAACATTGGGGTGGCACAGTGGATATGCATTCCTGGTTTTTTACATATACAGTAGATGGGCCATTTAATTAATTCGATGGTTTACCTATTAAACCATCGTGAATTTCCATAAAGGTTTAACTACCAGAGGGCAAAATGGACTTACAAAAACTGTCCAGTGGTAAACGGAGGGAGCGATCTGGAGCTAGGGGGGTCCATATATTTACCAAGGAACTACGAATAATTAGTCGAGTACCCACCACATCATAGAAATGGTGCAACATGAATCAATGATAAAACTTTATCAGGGCAGGGGGTGCAAACAGCAAGCGTTTCCAATGCGTTTTTGTTCACATAATGTTAAAAATCGCAGAATAATAGTTATAGATATGACTACACTCTCATTGTTACACAATCATTACCACTTTGATTGGGATATGTACTGAATATGGTGATCTTCTGCGTTTCACTGTGCTTCGAGATGCTTGCTGGCTCAGGCTATATATTTATGTAGGTGAGGGACCATGGAGCGCCTTACCACCGAGGTGCTGCGTTCGGAGGATAACTTGTCCTGCCATTTGCTGACGGATGCAGGCTCTGAAATTGGGATATATGGGGTTATCATGGGAATATAAAAGGAAATAGTAGGAAATAGATGTGTTTATAGGTAGATAGATACAGAAACTAATTATACATGATGGGATAACCAAGATTAACCAAGCAATTATGATGAGACTTGGAAGTGTTGATCTTGTAGTGCTTCATGGGTTATGTGTAGAGAAACTTAAGAAGCCTGAAAATTGCCATGTCCCCAAGATCAAATACGAGCCAAAGAGCCCAGTTACCCCAAGATCAATGGCAGTTTGGTACAGCTACCCGCAGTTCATGTGACTTGCAAGTCGGCACCGCCACCTCGCTGGAACGGCTCCCATTGTTTGGACCTTGCTTGGTGGGTTCTCCTCTGTGTTGTCTTCATCAACATGGAAACAAATCCAACCCACCCCAGTTTCCTTTTTTTGTTTGGGCGGTATTCAAATCCCATCCTTTAATATCCTTTAGCCTTTAGTGACTTTAGTGGTCACAACATCACCCCATCTTTTATCCTGTCATCCAGCCCAAAAATCTGATCTGCCCCAAAAATCAGCAGGTGACTTCCTGATGTACGCAGCCATACGCTTGGAGGCATTGAAGTTTGCAATAAAAGTGGAAAATCTATGAAATTCCCGGATCCTTTTCCAGAGTTTATGATCGTTTATGATAGTTTTCATGGGTATTCAGCCAGCCCCTGTAAAGGTGAACCACCAAGAAATCCCAATAAAGAATTTTCATAAATCCTTACGTGTGGTTGGTGGTTCAGAAACCCATAGTAATAAACCCGTATACTGAAGCGGAGGGTCAGGTTTGGCGCTGAATCCCCATAGTGTTCCTCTTCCTGGTCCTGGTGGTCTGGTGGTTTCAGGAAGATGATAGGATGGGATTTCGGCGATTTGGGGTTGTGATCCTTGGACAGTTCTTTTTTTTGGACTACCAATGAGCCTCTTGAGGAAGGGATTCGTTGCTGTTCATTGTGTAAGCTGGTTGTCGAGCTTTTGTTTTCTTCGAAGTTTTGATTTACGCGGAGCCCCTACAGTGCAGTGGGAGTCTCTACCGTTTGATCGAAATTTGCGCCTGCGTGCAGCTTTGGGAATATGAACTGAACTGACCAGCATACTCTTTAGATGGCAACGGCGGCCACTATGTGGGTTAGCCGAAAAAGGAGAGACGGCCCACTTCATTACATGAAACCACACATATTATATATTATATAACTTCATGATATAACATGATAATAATAATAATCCATCGGATTGAACTGTTGGCGATTCTTGGGCAAATCCAGCCTTCAACAAGCTTGCTCCTGACTAGAATGCAATTGCTGTTGGAGAAGCTCCTTCCCATATAGTTCCAAATTATAAGGAACCAAAATACTGGAACCCGGATGGCTTCTGGCTATCTTTATTTGGCTATGGCTTAAAAATGGGATGTCAATGCGCCACTGGACCCAGAGAATCGCTATGAATTGGACATTAGCATTTCCTCCTTTAATCATCCCAAATAAGGAGGCAACGATTTTGAGCCATGCAGGGGGAGGCCCCTCAGTCATAAATGAGTTTACAATTTCTTCATCTTCAACTCATGCAGATATTCCGCATAAACCGCACTTAATAAGCCTAAGGTGAACACATTTGAATACCAGCTTACTGAGTTAGCTACCTAGGGAGGGCCCTTCCAATAGCCATATCTCTCATCCCTGCGATTCCTGATCGCAGGCGCACCGGGCAGATTTTCACCTCTATGACCCCAACTGCTGCTTGACTATCCCCTGGCCGGAGCGACTAGTTACCACACCTTTCCGGACCAGTGGTTTCATTGTTCAGGTTCCCTCCTAATTGCCCCAGGGTTTGTTCAAAGTGATTTTTCATTCATGGAACATCCACAATGTAGGGAATCCATACGGGATATGTTCGTTTGGGTGGGCCTTCAATAAATCCAAGTTTTCAACATGCCCCATCAAAGCCCCTGTAAAATCAGACAAAGCTCAAACCAGCAGGGGATCGGGGGCCGTATTCAACGGCCCAAGCCCTGCCAAGGTCACAAAGATCTATTCAATCAGGAAAGGCCAGCTTTCACCATGAGTCCGGGACCTGGACACAGGGTTCCAGGATCAGTGTTAGGAGGTTAAAACATGCAGCGGATCTGCCGTATCTTGCGTGGTTTTGTGTGTGATTGGTTGCTAGTTTCTTTTCTTCAGCGGTTTCTACCATTGTTGCTGCAAGGAATGACGTTCTAAGATGTTCCGTTTGAAATGGCATGAGTCATGATACGTGGCCAATTTAATGTTGAGGCTCCATTTTGGATTCGAGGTGTTGATAAGGGTCGTAAATCATGGTAGACTATCCCACCTTGTTAAAGGGTAGTTTCACTAGTGTACTCGTTACTTTTTTATGTTGAAATATAATGAAATATATTATAGTAGCCCCCAAATAGATAGAACATGATAGAAAAATCATGTATCAGTACTTTAGTGGGATTTTACTGTTCTTTTTGGGTGTCGCTATATGTCATACCCAGCCCCGGCCAGTTTTTTGTTGAGGCTACAACGGGTCAAAGGACACCTGGAGACTGGTGCAAGAGCGGTGAGGGGGCCAAGTGTTTGGGATTGGTGACTGGACCTAAGACCCACGAACAGAAGATGATCCAGAAGATGCATGAGGGCAGTCCGGTTGCACATCTTGCTATGTACGGTATGTAGGAAGATTAGGAAAACAAAGTATAATTATTATATAATATATACTGGATATGTGTAGGTTTATTTGATATATCAAGGGTTTACACCGTACCAACAAACCTGATCTCAATACATTGATGATGCACCTGATCAATGTATTAGCACCTGTGTAGCCTGCCTATATCCCTGTACTCATTAGTCTCACATGGCTACGCACATTATTTGAATAGTAACCTGCAAACGATAGAACAGTAGATTTGCAGTAAAATAGTGGCAAGTGATAAGATTGACAAGTTACTTGTCTATTTCGTCGGAGGCTGCAAGGCATATTATAATTCTGAGACAGGCATATCATCATATCCCTACAATGCGGGGCTCCCAAGATAGCTAAGCTTGTTTATAACTACAATAACTAGGGTTTATTAGGTAGGTATAACCATAGTTAGATCGGGTTATACACCAACAAAAACAACGTAGCAGGGGGCCCCACTCGTTGTGTGGCCATTGGCCAGCTCCGATTCGATAAGGTGCTCCGCCTGTCAGTACTTGTCTCCGTCGCGGTCTTGTGCTGCACATGGCAAGCAGCAGGCAGCAACAATCGCTGCGTTGACCAACTGCCTTTTGGGGAAACTAAAGGAAAAAACTTCCTCCAAGTAGATAGAAAATATAGAAACAAATGTTCATGCTCTACTTCGCAATTCTACATGGCTTTTCGTTTTTCTGTTTGCTTTGGCCCTCCGGCATCCTCCGGCGCTGTTCCTTGCCAGATGGCTGTCATCAAACACAAGCAGCACGTCGTGGGGGAAGGCATCTCCAATATCATGGAGGTGCCACTGGGAACGATTGATGAACGCTGTGTTGTTTTGCAAAAACTGGGAATGACTACTATATAAATGATCAACACAATGAACACAATGATCAACAAGGAATCTGACATCTTGAGAATAATCAATGAACATGATGTAGCATGATCACGGCTTCCTTTTGCAAGTGGAACGTTCTCATAGATGTTCCATATTGTTGCATGGTTTTTCTCAGGAACTGCGGAGCATTGCACCGCAGGTGATCATCCCTGGCCTCTACCAAGATGACACCTGCGTGCCCTTGGCTTTTAAAGGGCCCTGGGCTCCCCTGGTGCCCTGATCCCGTGGCCAAATCCAACAGGGAATAGATTCTGGAAGGTGGTCCAAAGGATGATGTTCAAAGTATGCCTACTGCGTGCCTCCCTGTTGATCGAAGAGGGTGCATCAAAGCATCTCATTCTTCACACTTTCCAGTGGTTTGCTAATTTTTTGTATGTTTTGTTTGTGAAACCCGAATACCCCATGTATTGGGTTGGTTTCTCACCATGGGCATAACAGACCTTGACACGCTGCCCGTTGCCTTCGCCAAGGTGGTTTGGTGTCCCATGCTAGGGATGGGTGATTTGGCCGATGCTGGGGCGCCCGGATTTTTTTTCGCTGAATGAAGCGTGGCTGGCTGGGAAATCCCTGAACTAAATGGAGGTTTTAACTGTAAAATCATAGGTAAATTCTGGCGAAACATGGACAAATCCACTATAATGAAGGTTTATAGCGGCGAAAATCATCGAACTAAATGTGGAATTTCCAACAAGCCATGTTTGATTACCGCAGGGTACATGTGATGTAGCTAAAATATATAGTTCACTAGAATCCGGAGATCAGCAAAAACATCAGTGACATCAATTGGACTGCTTGTTGATGTTGAATACCTTGGTGTGATTCCAGATCCGTTTTTGGCCTTCAAGCATGTCTTGTCGCTTTTGCCAATGTTTTTTTTGTTGGCTGATCTTAGTTTGCTTGACTCAGTGTTTGCCCTGTTCCTGTGAACACCTTCCATGAAAAGTGTCAGTTATGGGTTGAACCCCCAATCACTGGCTACAGTTTCTAAACACGTTTTAGAACATTTTTGTTTCAAACGTGGTAAACCTCCAAAGCCCACCTAGGACGTCAACATGCGCCAACCTCCCTGCTCCTGCTCAGGCAGAAGCTGGCAACGGCGAGAGCCAAACGCTCATTACGCGGAAGCCAGTCTGGAACGAGCAGGTGGGCTGGAGATGACCAATGGCATTGGGTTACGGGCGGACTAGGGCATGAAGGGGCCTCAGTTGGGGATAAATATGAAAAAACGGGCTCCCGGTTGGAGGGTCAAGTTTTTTTAAGGAACGACTGGTTTCAAGACGAAACGTATACAGTGCATACAGTATAATAAGTGACGTGTTGGGGACATTTGGAGAAAGCTGTGGTCCAGAAATGGATAGTAAAATGGTGCCTTTGAAGTTTTTGTGTTAGCCTGCTATGGCCGATAGCTTTATGGTCGCATAGAAATCATATCCACGCCAGCTCTATCTTCCTACATATGTGCGGACGCATGTGATCCTACTGCGTTGCTAGCTTGGCAATAAGCCAGCCTTGGTATTTTTCTAACTGGTACTTGTCAATGTTTGTATATTCAGGCTGCTTCACCAGCAGTTGGATTCAATTATTTGTGGGTACCGCTCAGGCACTAGGGATGCACGTGGCCATACGGGTGACCAATCACCATGGCCCATCAACTTGCACGATGATTTGCAAATGACTAGCACTCTTTGGATGTCATTAGAAGTGCAGGTACTTCCAGTGTCTCAAGAAAATCTTGAGTCGTATTCCAGATGAACCTATGAATAAACACCCAAAAAAGACTAGAAACAACTATTTTCCATTATTTAATGAAGACCCAGAAAGATGGAAAAGCTATTTGCAATTATTTTAGCAAGAGTTTACTGTTCTATGTGTTTTGGATGCAGCACGTTTGATGATCATACATTCCTCCGTGGCGGATTGAGAAACTGCAGGTCCAATCCTTGGTCTTGGATTTCAAAGGCAGTTGCTTGGCGGTTGAGCAATGGAGGGATGCCACAAACCTCCAATCTTGGAGGGTTTTACCTATGAACAATTGTGATTGTCCATAGTTAATGTGGGAAACCCAATAATAAGCCTTCGATCTTTGAGTCATATTGGTTTCCGCTTAAAAAATCAGGAAACCCGGAAACCCCTATATTTGATGGTGGAAACCGTGGTTTACAGTAGATTTCCCCTTCAACCAATCCAGTGATTGAGGGTTTATAGGATCAATTTCTGATGAAAATGGGGATAGTTATTGTTCATCATTGGGTGTGCCACATTCATCGGGGATGACTTAACCAAACATCAATTGGATTTAGCCAACCAGAATGGGATTTGCCTGGTTCTTTCTTGAAACGGGGTACACAGTGTCACCAAAAGAGTGAGTAGGAAGGTGTGAGAATAACAGGCCCAGCCATCAACTTTGGTGGTGTCCTATCTTCAAACAACTCATCTCTCATATTATTTGATTCTGCCCCGGTAAGCACGGAGCCAGTTTATGTATATATAACAACTAAATCTCATCCCCCTTCAGAAGAACTCATGAACACTCCTGCATATGGAACACCAAAAGGAGCAGATCCAACACTTTCGGCTGCTATCACCACCTTCCGCCCATGGCTATGGCCGAGGAAATATTGTGTCATCAGTACGGGGCCTTGATGAGCTTCGGCGAGGCAATCAATGCCAATGAGATCTGGCGACGACATTGTTTTTCCCATGTTTTTGGGGGATTCCAATCCCATCAGCATCATAGTATGCCAATCACTACCACGAAGGATATGGGGTCCCTGAGAAGTTGGTCCAGAAGCCGATGTGTGGACCCACGCGTTGCCCATTCTCATCCAGGACATGGACTAGGAACGGATTGGATTCGGATGTGGTATATTGTGGTATGGCTGGTAGGACCTGGTACGTTCATCAGGAGATTGTCTTTGATCTGTACAACTTGCCATTTCCCAGCCTGCAGTTCGTGGAACTTATTGCTGGCTCAGAGGGCCAACGAGTGAAATGGGAAGATATGAGAGGCCCAGGGAACACAAAGGAAGTGAGCGGAGTCTCATTGCCAGGAAAACCTAAAAGTACCTATTTTTTTGGGTATGACCCCCTTAATCCTTAATCAAATTCAAGAAGAGACCTCGGTAGACATCTAGATGCAGCAGACTCCTGGCATTCTACACTTCTGACTTGTATGAATTGTATACTCTATTTCTGGATGCTGGTTTCATCCCTTTCTGGTCACCCAGTGGTAAGACACCCAGTGACTTTCCCATCTTTCCATTCGCGACTTTGCCACTGATGGCCTCGTTTGAGGAGAGCCTTTGGCAGAAGTGATGGTGCCAAGCATGTATCAATAGAGGCCTCCATTGTTTGTCCATGGATGGTACATAAACAAAATGAAATACCCTCCCGGAATCAAACGTGGCAATCTGAAACCCCCTAGAAATGGATGTTTTAATGGAAAAATTATCTATGAATTAAATTAAATAAACAATATATAATATACATGCATAAATGGTATAGATGATGGAGTTTCTGTATTTGTTTTCGTCTCTCCCTCTCTCACCCTCTCTCCCTCCCACTTTTCTGTAAACATGTGCAGAAATGTCTTGGATGCAAACATTATGAGCGATGGGTATGCATACACATATGCAATTATATATATGTACATATATATTTATATATGTAGGTATGCATATATATATATGTGTGTGTGTGCGTGGGTATACAGAGTTGTATATACATAATATATATATATATATATTTATATGGTCTCGTGTTCCGTGTTCCTACCCCCCAATGGTATGGGTCTCCAGGTAGCACCCCCTTCCCAGCACCCCCTTCCCTTCTATTTGCAAGCTATTGGCAGCGTTTCTGAGGTCCAGCCTTGTATTTGCTAGGTCTTTGCAGCATTTCTGACTACCAGCCTCGCATTTACTAGGTACATGCTACCTTTTAGACGACCTACGTAGCACACATACTCCCTCAAAGTACCTACGTGCTACCTATAGTCATATATAGTCATATATACATGTGCTATGTATCTACTTCCTACTTACTACCTGTGTACTCTCACAACACTACATGTGTTTAACATATACCGTACCTACCATACATTCCAATGATACCATACATACCATACATACCATACATACCATACATACCATACATACCATACATATCATTACCATACATATCATACATACCATACATACCATACATACCATACATACCATACAAACTTTGACCATACATGCCATACCTATTTTACCTATCATACATACCACACATACCATACATACCATACATATGAAACATAATGACCACACCTACCATATACACAATACCAAACATACATGCCATACATACCATACCTACCTTACATAGCAAACATTCCATTCCCATCATAGCAACCATACATACGGTCATATCAAACATACCATGCCCAACAGACTTACATACCAGACCATACCTACCATCCATACAATACCAACCATTCATGCCATACATACCATACCTACCATACATACCAAATATACAATACATTCCAAACACACAGCCCACCACACCACAGGGGGGAGGGGGACAGTACCACACTCCCACCAAGTACCACACCTCAACCACACCACAGGGGGGGGAGGGGGGACAGTACTATGGTTGACCCATGACCATGGCCGGGGGAGGGACGGGGGTTGGAACGCTGGACCATATATAGGTAGGTGTATATAGTATATATATATAGGTAGGTCCTATACATACATATGTAGGTATATATATATAGGTAGGTATATATACATATAGGTATTCATTTTTAGGTGTGTATATATATATAGTCTTTTACATACAGGTATTAAGATATAGGTGTATTATATATATAGGTATAAAGATTGGTTTATATATATACATATAGTTGTTTATATATATAGAGGATTTTTGATATGTACATTTAAGTAAAAAGATTGGTGTATATATATATTAGGTAAATTTGTATATATATATATATATATTTAGACAAACTTAGATAGATAAATAGACAGTTCGCCAGCTAGATAGCTAGATAGCTGGATAGATAGCTAGATAGATAGATAGATAGACAGATACATGGATAGCTAGATAGATAGGTAGATAGATAGATAGATACGTTACATAGATAGATAGATAGATAGAAAGGTAGATAAATAGATAGATGGATGGATAGATAGATAGATAGAAAGGTAGATAGAAAGGTAGATAAATAGATAGATAGCTAGATAGAAAAGGAGATAGATAGATAGCTAGATAGAAAGGTAGATAAATAGATAGATGGATGGATAGATAGATAGATAGAAAGGTAGATAGAAAGGTAGATAAATAGATAGATAGCTAGATAGAAAGGTAGATAAATAGATAGATGGATAGATAGCTAGATAGCTAGATAGCTAGATAGATAGCTAGATAGATACATACATACACTAATTTTTGGTAGGTGCATAGCTACGGCCAAGGAAGCTGGAAGCCTTGCGGAAGATCCGTGAGCGACAGCTTGCTAAGAAGGCACCAGGGAGGGCATGGTGGCAGCCTATGGCATGGGCTCTTCCTCTGGAAGAATCAAATTTCTGGCCGAAATCAAGCTGGATTCGGAATTGTGGGAGAAATGTATACTTAAAGTATAGAAATATTATGAAATATGATGATGTTGCATGGAAGCCGGTTTCACATGGATTGGGACGATGTTAACTTTCCCGTTTTATCGGTGGATCCCATGGAACGCAGGCTGAGACCGCTGCTCCGGTGGCTGAAACGAAAGCAACGTTTCTTCGCTGCAGGGCCGGGCCCCAGGAATCGGGGCTGTTTTGAAATGGTGGAATGGCGGGAGCTCAGCAGCTCAACGACGAAGATCGCTTGGAAGAGGATCGTGAAGCATTGTTTATGGCAAACGTTATTTTTCGGAAAAACAACATCTGATTGGACATGACATCACTGATTGAGAGTTCCATCCTCGTTGGGGATGCCCTTTCAACCCAGTTGTGTTTCTTTTATGGCGGATCTGTAGGCCGCAAGATGAGGAAGGCTCGATGGGTTCGATGCCTGGGTTGTGAATGATGTCACTGAATGATCGTTGGGACGGTTAGGATTGGGGTTTCCATCCTCAAATGTCCGAACTTGTCAGGCTTCTGACTTGACTTGTTACGTATTCTATCCATAAGTACACAGAAGTGAACCTATCATTGTGCTAAGCCAATTTGTAAGCTCACATACCTGGCATTGCCAACTCTGCATCAAGGGCCCCCGTTGTTGCCGCTTGAGTTGTTGCTTAAACAGCGACCAGGTGGGGTCGCTGTGGACGTGGATGCATTGTTTTGCACGGCACATTGCTATGAACGTGGCATCCACGGATGCAGCACGAATCTGCCAACAGCCTTGCACTTGTGCCTTGGAGCAGATGGATTTTCCTCCAAGAAGATCATCCGCACTGCCGGTGGTTCCATCGAACTTGGTGGTTGCGTAGCTGACCACAAGAGGGGGGCTAGATTGGCCGATCACTTCCCTGATCTTTATCAAGTTTATCAAACAAATCTGTTACTAAATGATGCTCAATATGAATTAAGCCAATACTAAACCATGGTAAAGGGGGCTGGGACTAATCTTAAACTGAACTAATGTGACTTGACGCGACTTCAGACCCTGAAATTTGTCACTAATGGACTAATGGATACTAATGGTATATCTTGACTCTTAAGTCATCTTGAATTCAACTTGTCTATCACCAATCATTTTCCCGGTTAAACTTGCAATTTTGCCTCCCCCCAAGAAAGCATCGTGTCAACGTTACGTGATCTGATTCAGGTATCGGCTCGCTGCAGAGCAGGGGCACGCAGTGTCTCAATGGCGTATGGGCGAGTTGCTCGAGTCCCCCGGCGTAGATGTTGAGTCATGGCTGTGGGTCAAAATCTTGGGAAATTTCATGGTACATGGATGGTAAATGGAGGTTCATTCACCAAAAATGTGGCCTAATAGGCTTTGATTATCTGAAAATAGTACTTCTGTTCCATGGGGTAGAAATTGCAGCTCCAACGCCTAGGGGTTTTCAGGAGACGGTTCTGTGCAGATGAAATTCAGGAAGTCCGACAAAAATCCTTCCCAGCAGGTCCCATACTGAGCAAAAGCAGCCATTTTCTCAATGTGAAGGAATTCTCCCAGCCAATGTCTTGAAACATTTGTTTGTCAGTTCTATACTTTTGTAATTCAACATAGCAATGCGGAATAGCAATAAAGAATATTTATTGATGCTCAATTGAAATAAAATTGGAAACTTATTTGCAGATTACAGATGGGAGATTCTTCATTCCACTGGGGTCGCGTCCCCTTTGACCCAGCGCAGGTCAGGGTTGTGCGGCCAAATGGAGCCAGATTTTCGAGAAGCTCGGAAATGGTATACGCTGGCAGCTGAAAGTGGAAACCCTCAAGCACAAAATGCAACCTGGTCTGAAGTGGGCGCGCGCAGCATGCGCAGCATGCGCAGCCTGCTCCCCAAGTTCCATGTCTAGGCAGTATAGGCTAGTAAGGTGGTGTTTCACAACCAGCCAGTGAATTAGTGAAACCTACAAGTAGTGGCAGCGACAAAACATGACGAGGGAAGGATGATTCCTTACTTTCCGGTGCTCCGCTACTTCTTTTGCTCTTCCCATGGGCGGAAGATTGCCCAGTTTAGCTGCTGCAGTTTTCTATTGGGTGTCAGGTGACAAACTCTCTCGAGTTTCCCAAACGTTTACAATGATGCTTTGTGTTTGCTTTGTGGCTTCCTGGATGTTCTTCTACTATCCCACCATTTGTCTGTTGTGCTGGTTTGTCAATATGTGTTTTATATATGTGTCCTATTTTCCGCATGTGCAACCAGTAGGGAAACGGCCAAGAGCCATGATTGTAACTCCCATTTGAAAATCCAGCGTTCTTTTGGGTGGAAAATAATGATAAACCACTCACCAGATGCGAGCAAACCCAGTCGTGGAACTTCTCAACCAGTTATGACCACTGACATGCATCTCTAAGCCTCGTTCTCCCAATGCTTGGGCCCCGTTCCTAGTCATAGACGGGCCATGGATGCTATTTAGACATAGACATAGGTTATCTACTAATTACACCAATAGGTGTGAAGTACTTCGAAGCACTTCACTTGTAACTGGGGAGCAGGGACCATCATTGTTCCCTTCCAGTCCCAATCACAAAAAAAAACTTGACGAGTCCCAAACGTGCTTCAAATTCCGAAATGTGTGATGGTTTCTAAGTTATTTCTTGCTAATTTCTCCTAAATTTAATTTTTTTAGTGGGAAAATCTAACCTTTAATGGTCAAATCCCCTAGTCTTGATGATTTGATTCTCATTTTCCCATATGTTCCCTTCGTTTTTGCTGGATTCCCCTGCATTTCCCTTGGTTTTCACTGGGCTTTTCCCAGGCCTTGGCTCTGATGCTGGAGGAAGGAAAGCAGGGCGTGCCCCAAGACACCGACACTGCGCAGCGCTGGCATCTGGCCGCGGCGGAACAGGGCAACGCCTTGCCACTTGGCGGCCAAGAATGGTGGGTTTAATGGGATGTCATGGTGATTTAGTGGGATTTCATGGTGATTTAATTGGGTTTCACTGTGGTTTAGTGGGGTTTAATCGTGATTTAAGGGGATTTCATAGGGGGTTAATCAACAAAAAACAGGGATGTTAGTGGATATACCCTCTGGTAAACTGACATGGCTATGGAAAATAACCATGTTTAGCAGGTAAATGAACGTAAATTCACTATCAATGGGCCATGTTCAATAGCTATGTTCAATTACCAGAGGGTAAACCGGCGACAATGGTGACAGTATGAGATATAACTCGGATATACGGAGTATAGCCTGATAGAATGAGATTTACTGGGGAACACTCCTGGTGAAAAGCAAACCATAATCTCAGAACACGGTACTTATTAATGTGTTCAACAAATCCCGTTGAAACCATGGGAAAAAGGATTTGACCAATTTTTCTTTAGGTTGTGGATTTCCCATGAAAACGATACAGTATATAAAGTATGGTAAGAATGTCTTTAAAGTTTGAACAGTTTGGCTGTGAAGGTGGGAAAAGGGCAGAACATGCCAAGCATCTTCCAATTCATCCATAAAATATAGGATAAAACTGGGATACATTTCCAAAACATGGTATTGGGTTTGTCCAATAATGGCTTGGATACCCGGATGCCCAAAATTATACTGTTAACTCCATGACAATAAACATTGGCAGCATTGGCATTTGGGATGCCGAAAAACTCTCAGCCAGACCAAAAAGAGTCACGTCTTTTCATGGGGGAATCAATTGGCTTTATTCCATGGCAGTTGTTTAATCTGCCAACATTAGACTGGTTGGTGGTTTGGAACATTTTTTATGTTCCATAATATATGGGATAGGCCTTCTCATTGACTAGTATTTTTCAAGATGGTTAAAAATTAAAACCACCAACCAGTAGACCAGCGCAAAGTTTTTCATGGGAGGCTTTCGGTCAGGGGACATTAGGATTACCAGACGGATCGTTCTCTTGTCCATACGGGCCCCCCAAATTCATGCCTGAAATATACAATGAGACACACTTGGTGGGTTGAACCCCAGTTATAAATGGTAGAAGTAGGGTTAATCCACTTATAACTGGGGTGGGATGAGCCACCAAGCATGATACACGATTCAAGTATCAAACCCTCTGATTCTTCAACCGGACCATCGCAAAAAAATGCAGGCCTTGGGGTTGCCATTTTGTGCACATGCAGGCAAATAGTAGGTTGTGGTCTTGTAAATCGAGTGGGCATGGTGAATTCATGGAGTATCTTGGCCCTTTTTCGTGTCTCAGGTCCCAGTTCTGTAGTGCCTCTTTACTGTCAAAGATGGGACAAGATGAAGCTGCCATGATTTGGCTCCAGAAGAGCGCAGCGCAGGCCCGGGGATGAAATGATATGAAATGTGGGATGTGAAGCGACAGGATTCCGAAACTCTGCAGGAGCCAGGGTGACCCCACAAAATAAATGACCATTTCTAATGGGAAAAAATGACCCCAAACAATGAAACAGACCATGGTTGCCATGGTCTATGAATCTGGGGTTGACATTGTCGCCCGCTCAAGCCACAGATGACCTGAAGATGGGACTAGGTGCTTTGGACTTGACCCCTCTCAAGGGAAGGGCAGAGAAAGCGCCCCCTTCGAAATGATTTCCTGAAACCAAAGAAGTGGAAATTGGAAAATGATCAGAATTAATTGAATTAATGATATAGTTATTATTCCATTGGGCCGGGTTAGAGCAGGTTTCTTTTTTTAAGTGGCGGTTTTCAACCAATCCCATCCTCCTGAGATTGGGGCGCATGAATGGTGGCGATTGGTTGCATTTGATGTTGCATTGCCTTTATTAAGGACCGTTTCAGAATGATTAGGCCACCTCAAACCATGTAAAATCACCAGTCTAATCCCCCTTTCAGCATGACTAACATGAAAACTACTATTTTTGATGCTTAACCATGTTTAACCCGCTATTCCATCGGTGGATGCTGGGGATGAGGTTACCAGACAGGGACACAGCCCCAGGGGTTTGGACCGGCTGAGCGTGTGGTGGCCGACATGAGCGAGCCAGCGCCTACGGCAGATTCTGCGGAGGAATTTGCTGGTTCTTTGGTATCAAAATCATTCGGATGGGTTTCAAGTGAGGCCAAAAATTGGTTCGAAGATGGAGTAACATTCTGTATTTTTTGGAGCGGATGGATTGGCAAAGGCAAAGGCAATCTAGGTTGGATTCTTGATGGGACGGCAGTGCTCCAGTCTTCAAATGTCACATGTGAATATTTCGAATTCCAGGTGTTCTGGGATCCCTTGCCGTTGCCGTGTTGAATTTATACGGCGCATCCCTGCCTTACAGGGGAGACATTCCATTAAACTAGAACGTTGCACCTGTATCGCAGATCATCTATCCATTTGGGAACGTGATGGGAGAAACCCAGCTTATAGGTACTCTGATGCACTGAGATTCCAGTCGCCAAGAAATTCAAGTCTTCTTCTCCCCTTGAAGGGGCACAAATGATTGCAAACATCTCACACATGGAACTCCAGCCAATTAGCATGGACAACATAGGTATGGAAATTCAATGGATATCCATGGGTTTCCCTAGGAGTGTGACTTACCCCCTGGTAATTTGATATAGCTATTGAAAATGGCCATTTCGTTCGTTGATTTACCGAACTTAAAGATTTTTTGATTTTCCAAAGCCGGCTGTTAGTTTATCACAGGGTTTTTGTCCACTAACATCCCTGTTTTTTTGTTGATTAAGCCTCTATAATCACCATTAAATACCATTAAACCATATGAAACCATCATTAAATCACCATTAAACCACCATTACATCCCACTAAATCACCATGAAATCCCATTAAATCACCATAGATTTAGTGCCATGTTAGGTTTTCCCTGGAATTTCTCGCCCCAGATGACGCGCAAAATGACCTCGTAAGCGTCGCCACGCGGCTGGCGCGGCAACTGAAGAATCTGGAAGAGACTTGGCTCGAAAAATCGTGAGTTCATGGCGGGTCAAAGCATGGGAAGGACAACAACATCCACGATAAAAATTGAGGCAAAAAATAGGAAAATCCTGGATGTGCTGAAGATGTTAAAAAAGAAAAAACAATGGGAAATCCATTGCGTGCGGAATCCATCGGGAAATATTGTTCATTGTGTGGTGGTTCCTTAATGTTCCTTAAGCAAATCCACCTAAATTCATGCTGAATCACCCGCCTGGCATCCATCTACCAAAGGTCTGCCAAAAGGTCTGTTGCACATGCCGGAGAGCGGCTCAGCCGATCTTCAGCCGCCAACAGAAGTACTGCAGGGGTGACCCTGGATCATTTGGCCACCTGTTGGTCCGCATCCTCTTTTGCCTAAATTTGCCCAACATGTACTTGTAAAATATTGCTCACTTCCTGCAGTGATATCATTTCATATCCTCCTCTGGTGTACCTAAAGAGTTCTGAAATTGTAATGATTATGCATATCATACTGCATCTTACTGTACAAATGTCTGTCAATGATCTAAGGAAATATAAAGATCAATATAACGAAAATTAAATGCCGGGGTCTGACGTCCAACAGTTGCCAGGTGGAGGGGACCTGACGTCATATTCTTTTTGTACCTGTCCATTGTATGTTGCTTGGGTTTTCCTATCTTACCTTATGCCCTCTCATTTTATTGGCATTTTGTCCTTCCCTGCATTGTATTTTATTAGAGGTTCCACCCCACCTGCACCAGACGGTGCTATTTCATGATATTTAAGGAATTTAAGGTCAGTTCCCGAAACCATGAGATGCATCTACAAAAGAAGTGGATAAAGATGGCATGTTTTCCCCAAGTCTTTCCCAGTGCTATGGATGGGCTGAGGACTTGGAAGCAGACCAGCTGCTGGAGGAGCTGTTGCAGTCCTGTCCTCCCGCCTCCCTGGACCCAGGAGCTATGACAGCTATGACTGCTGAAGGGCTTCCATCATCGGCTTGGTGGGGATTTTCATCATGATATATTTATATATATATGATATATATTAATAAATAAGTAATCTGGTTGGTGGTTTGGAACATTTTTTTTCTTCTCCATATATTGGGAATAATCATCCCAACTGACTTTCATATTTTTCAGAGGGGTTGAAATCACCATGATATAATGATCTGGGCAAATTACTGCATAACGACCTCACTGTTCTCCCGAAGCCTAGAATCATGGTTAATAAGGGGAATCATCCCAAAATGGCCCAACATTTCAGGTTAGTGAATTATAAGAATTTGCCCAGAATGATGCCTACCACATTTTTGATCCTTGGGTGAGATTAAAAATGAAACATATCGCAGTAGTTTGTCGCTGTTTGTTGATTTAAACTCTGTCAAGAAATTAATGGGCCCATGAGTTCTTGGGTTTGCCGACCTGGGCACCATTCCTCAACATCACGGGGCCCATCTTGGAGTAAGTAGGGGATCAACAAGAAGATTCTCTTCATGGGCATGGGGTTCGAAAGATACCCATATCTCGGCCCAATTAGAGCTGGATGAAACTCACTTCCCTTGATTAACCATCACAAACCCAGCTTTGCTGTCGAAGTTTGCGCAGGAGCTCTGGGTGAAATCGAGCTTTCAGAGGTCACTTGCCGCAGTGGATCAGCTGACTCACTTGGCTTAGGAACTACTGCAATTGTAGGGACCTCCTCTACTTCGCAGCTAGCGTGGTTTCTTAAAGTTCTTTGGAGGTGTCCTAAAATATCCTAAAATAAAGGTACCCCCAAAATCCCCAAAGCATCCATTTTACTGGGATTGTCCATGAAATAAGCCATCCAGCGAGCTTGGGGTACCCCCTTTTTATGAACCCCCCCATGGGATGATCCAGTGCAGCACCAGAAATCGTCAAAGGCCGAGGATGAGGACTGAGGCAAGCCGTGGTCGAGGGGCGCCCCGAGCGCCTTTCCGGTCCACCGAAGACATCTCAGTTTGCAGAAGTTTGCACAGATTCAGTTGAGTAGCGTTTTTTTTCTGGATGCAGAAAAGTAGATAAATGGGAACTCCACGAGGCATATTATGCCAGAGGCGTAGGCTCCCATGCAGACGGCGTAGGTTGCGTTTGCATCGGCGTAGGCTTGTTTTAGCCTGCACCGCGTAGGCTTTGTGTAGACTGTAGACGCTCGCTGGCAACAGTTAGAACTCATTGATTTTGCCTTTGCCAGTTGGATACTTGTTGCTTGTGTTTCCAAAGCCTCATTCCATAATTGAAAACAAAAAAAATCGCCGTAGGCAAAGCCTACACCGCGTAGGCTCGCGTAGGCACCCCTAAAAATCATACCCCCGCGTAGGCTACCTCATGCAATGGCGTAGGCTCGGCGCAGACAATTGTGTAGGCTATATGTTACTGGTCATCGAAAGGCAAGGATAGAAAAACACTACTCAGTTGAAGCATGTTGGAATATAATGGAATATCTTGGTATAAAACCTTCATCCATCAACCTCAGAGGGCTCAAAGAATTGTGGATCGTCAAATAATGATTTAATCTGATTTGATATTGATCATGTCATGTCGAAATTATTTGAACAATGTTTTGATATATTTTGGTCAGCTGCGAAATGTTCATCAATATCCTGGGATGGCATCGGGTCCCAAGTCGAAATTCGCCAGAAACCATGGAGATGTTTCACTGCCATGGCACCGCTATGTGTAAAGCATGGCAGGGTTCTCTCTTGGGGCCAAAAATCTGAACGTTGGAACAGGCACTTGGGGCGAGATGGAACCAACAATTGCCAAAACAAATCGCTGGGATTTTGTCAAATACTCTTAGCCACTTAAGAATTATATCTATATCTAGTTATCATGGAGTGATTGTTTTGAAGTTTTGCCTTCCGGTCACCCTGCATTTCACCATCCTACTGGTGAAGCATTGCAATGTGCACATTGATTGGGTGGGAAGCGCTGGAAAATAACCTTGGGATGACCCTGCTAGCGACCGAGTTTTTGGAGGGAAACTCCTCCGACGGATTGTGCATGGATAAGAGAAAGATCATGGAAGGTACTTACCTGCGGCTACATATTTCATGGCAGATGACCCGGGACAGTTCAAGGACTTTCTGATGTTTGTGATGTTCAAATCTTTCTCGTTGAAAATTAGGTTGAATGTCAGAATTCAAGCTCCGTGGTGTTTCCTTCTCAAGTGAGTTTTTCCTGGGTATTTGTAGGATGTAATATGGTGTAACCGTTCCAATTCGCTTGTTGCGGGATGTTGAAGGAAAATGATATGAAAGCCATCAATCCTAAACGCCAGACGGCCCCACCTAGGCCAAGAATTTTCAGCTCGCATTGCGGCAAAAGCCGCAGCATGTGATTTGCCAGCAGCTTGCCAGAAATCAGCCGCAGGTGTTCTGCTTTGGGAAGATGATTTGGGCCGATCAGCAAAGAGCTTTGCTAATAATATGTGTTTGTTGCATTGGCTTCAGATCGGGGAAGATAGGATTTCCTGGTGCCCAGGTGGGTGCTTTGATTGTTATTTTCAACTGCAAATTGTACTCATGTTTTCAAATTTGACAAATATGTACAGCAATATGAGGAGAAACATGGCGAGAGAACCAACCCGATCAAGCTCTCATATAGTTTCAACTTGTGCCAAGATATGACAGCAGTGGATGTTCTGTCCTTTGTCCGGGGTCCCATGTCATGGGCCGGTGTCAGCAGATGCTTTGGGATTTCCAAAACATATTCAACATCCATTCAAAAAGACAACGCATAAACAGGTTGGTGTATCTACAAGTTGTTGATATCGATAGAGCTGCATATATATATATATACATAACTTTAAATATAAATAAATAAATGAATATATATATATATTTACACCCTCTGGTAATTTAACATAGCTATTGAAAATTGCCCATTTATAGTTGATTTACCTATTTAAGATGGTGATTTTCCATAGCTATATTAGTTTACCAGATGGTGTATATATATATTGTTTAATATTATATTACACCTATATATACTTACCTATGTGTAGTTGAACTTGTACACACCTGCATGATGTGCAAGTAAGCGCTGACTTGGTAGGCATCCTTCCATCCTGCCGACCGTAGAACAAGACAATCTCTCTCAATATGCACACACACATACATACATAATGTTACTGTTTTATAATTACATACATATATATATATATGTGTGTGTATTTGCTATTAGTCACACCTTCGGTAAGACCAGATTTAGTCTGGGAGTCTGAGAACTGAGACCCTATCAAGACGGTCTTGAACATGGCCGGGCATGCTTCATTGATGACACACACTTAGAGCATTGAACGACTCCATGGTCCACGCCTAAGGTATGGAAAACTCAGCCCGACAAACTTCGGGCTCGACTTCAGATATCCATTGAGCCCCTGCTCTCAGTGGATCTCCGTCCTGTTCTGATCCAGTGATGGTTCTCAGGCTCTCAGGCCAATAAATTCGCTCGCTAATTTTCGATCCAGTGATCATTGTAAGAAACTACCCCAAACACCAGGAGTATACCAGGAGTCTTTACATGATTTACGTGCAAGTGGCTATGTTCTTTTTTGTTTGTGCAAAGTTCACTCACGGAATTGGATGGTGGGACATTTTACAGGAAACATCTTTATTTGGTGGTAAATAATCATGGTTTCCGGTTACGATTTTCCTATAAACCATATCAAACTAATTGATTGAATGTTAGTGGATATTCCATTAAACCTCATGATGTTTCATTATATCCATTTATATCCCCATGATATCCACATGATATTCCCCTTCTATCCGGTTTGGACATGGCTTTGTCGACATATCTGATTGTTTATACGCCCGTCTACCCTCTGCTAAAGTTACATAACTATGGAAAATCACCAATTTGAATAGGTAAATCAACTATAAATGGCAATTTTCAATAGCTATGTTTGTTTACCAGAGGGTATCTTTTCCCACTTGGATTCTAAGACTGTCTTGAGCGCAACGTCGCAACTGAAGGTGTCATCCAAGCCTTTGGCGCTGCAGTGTCCACCATTTTTTGGCACCTTGCTGATATGGGCTGAGTTCGGAAGTGCTTCCTTTTTCTGGTTATAGGTGCTTATAGTATGCCCCCCCAGCAACAGAATCTTAGAATTTGTTACTTTTAGAAATTTCCATCGTTACCAGGTTTACTGTAGGAGTTGCGGCAAATGGCTCGCCGCGGAAGCACAATCCTGTATGGGCCGTGTAGGTCAAATATCCAAGACATACCCTCATATCGAAACAGTTGGATGCAAACAATGAGATCAAGATCCGTGGGCTTGGGGATGAGGCTTGCCAGATTGATAAGGTCATGATTTGAGGCCGTAGAAAATGGGAGATTCCACACAAGCACAAACCCATTACAGCCACAACCTTGCATGCCTTGAACAAGGACCTGATGCAAGGAACTATAGTTTAGACTCTAGCAACGATGTATCTTAAAATTAATTTTATATGATAAATCAAGGCATTAACCCATGAGATATATATTTATGAATATATAATGTCATTGTTGTCCTTGTTTTTTGTTCTATTTATTCCATATTATTGATGGTAAAATTGTGATCTATAATGACAAAATAATCTAATATATATATATATACATATAATATTTTTAAAAATGATTAAATATTTTCAATTTAATTAAATACATGTTTTATTATAATATAATGATGTTATTAATATATAATTGAAATTAGTTTATTTATATTAAATTTAATATTACACTAATTGACACATATTTTCAATTTTCTCAAAAATATTGTTTGTATTAATTATATCATATATATATAGAGTATTATAGACTTATATCAATTTTATATAATTGTATTTTGATATTATTTTATAACAGGTTTTTGATCTAATATGATTGAAATATTTCTTTTTTCTTAATTGATATATAAATAAATTGTTGGGATATATTTGGGAAATTTCGACGATCGATAATATTTTTTATTATATAAAAACAAGATGAAGCCCACGAACCCGAATGCTCACACGTATGTTAATGGTACAGATGTCGAAACACATGGACATGCAGTCACGCAGAACACTTTTCTGAAACAGTTTATTTGAACAGTCTTGTACATTTTTCCCCTAATACCATACCAGTGCACCGTAGACTGTGGAATATGGAAGAAGGTGGCGTGCTAAGTGTGGAGTGTAGAGTCTGGAGTGTAAAGTATGGAATGTAAAGTGTGGAGTGTAAAATGTAGAGTGTGGAGTGTAAAGTGTGGAGCGTGGAGTGTGTAAAGTGTAAAGTGTAGAGTGTAAAGAGTGCAAAGTGTGTAAAGTGTGGAGTGTAAAGTGTAGAATGTGTAGTGTAGAGTGTAAAGTGTGGAGTGTAAAGTGTGGAGTGTAAAGTGTGGAGTGTAAGTTGTAAAGTGTAGAGTGTGGAGTGTAAAGCGTGGAGTGTGGAGTGTCAAGAGTGTCAAGAGTGTCAAGAGTGTCAAGAATGTCAAGAGTGTCAAGAGTGTAAAGAGGGTCAAGAGTGTAAAGAGTGTAAAGAGTGTAAAGAGTGTAAAGAGTGTAAAGAGTGTAAAGAGTGTAAAGAGTGTAAGGAGTGTAAAGACAGTGTAAAGAGAGTGTAAAGAGAGAGTAAAGAGAGTGTAAAGAGAGTAAAGAGAGTATAAAGAGTGAGTAAAGAGAGCGTAAAGAGTGTGTAAAGAGAGTGTAAAGAGTGTGTAAAGAGAGTGTAAAGAATGTGTAAAGAGAGTGTAAAGAGTGTGTAAAGAGAGTGTAAAGAGTGTGTAAACAGAGTGTAAAGAGAGTGTAAAGAGTGTGTGAAGAGAGTGTAAAGAGTGTGTGAAGAGAGTGTAAGAAGTGTGGAGTGTGGAGTGTGGAGTGTGGAGTGTGGAGTGCGGAGTGTGGAGTGCGGAGTGCGGAGTGCGGAGTGCGGAGTGCGAAGTGCGGAGTGCGGAGTGCAGTGTGTGGAGTGCAGTGTGTGGAGTGCAGTGTGTGGAGTGCAGTGTGTGGAGTGCAGTGTGTGGAGTGCAGTGTACGGAGTGTAGTGTGTGGTATGTGGAGTGTAGTGTGTGGTATGTGGAGTGCAGTGTGTGGAATGTGGAGTGCAGTGTGTGGAGTGTAAAGTGCAGAGTCTAGAGTGCAGAGTCTGGAGTTTGGAGTGTAAAGTGTGGAGTGTAGAGTGTAAAGTGTGGAGTGTAAAGTGTGAAGTGTGGAGCGTAAAGTGTAGAATGTGGAGTG